AGTGGCATATAATCTGTCCTTGGAAAAAAGAATTTCTAGGCAAAGAGTTGGTGGTAAGATTTGCTGGTGTTGTAAGAGATGACAGTCTATCCAACGATGACATGACAATGAAGTGGAATTTGACTGAAATTTTTTTTAGGAGGATAGAAAGAAACAAAACTGAACCAAAGGGGTTAGGGTCAGAGAATAAAAAGTATGAAATACTAGTTTAAAGAGATTAGCAATAATCTGACAAACAATGGAAAGATGCTAAAGGTTTTGGAGCAGGGAATGGATAGTCACTCCAGAATATCTTGTCAGCTAGTTATGAGTTTATGATGAAAATTTAGGTCTGAAGGCCCAAATATGAGCAACAGCAATAAAGACAGAGAATAAAAACAGGGTAGGGCAAATTAGGAGAGGAATCAGGATGATTTAGAGATTTCAGTGCTGAGAGAGTAGGAAAAGGATGGAAGGTCTGTTCTGCAGGCAAGTTGCGAGAGGAAAAAAAGATACATGAGTTTGATTTTAGGCATGTAGAGTTCAAAGTGCTTACTTTAGTCGAGATTATATGATCTAATGAGTTCTTGACCCTGTTTATGAATTCTGGTTCTATCGCAATAACCCAGACTTTAGTGGTGACAGTGACCTATAGAAGGAAAATGTGAAGAGTGCATTTTCCTTCTACAAGGCCATGAAACCCTTTTCTATTTCTCCAAGACCTCTGACTTGATCATCTTCACATGAAAGAATGGAGACAACAATGGGAAGGGAGATAACTACTACTCAGAGATTTTTCTTGGACTAGGACAGGTATTTATTAGATATAAAGAAAGTACTCTAGGATTAGAAACCTATACTTCAAAAGTTTGGCTGTTTTTATGCTTTATATATTATTTTTCTTTGTATACTCTTTATTATTTTGTTAAACTTCTGTTTGAGGGACCAACAGATTGTGCAATGGTTATGTCGCTGGACTCCCATGTAGTTGACCATGGTTCAAGTCCTGGACCCAGTAACTTAAAACTCATGTGCGTGCCCCAAATCCCGAGAGGTGAATGGAGAAGCAACTATGGCATGGTCATTCCCCTGGGAGGTTTCTTGCTTTGTCTTTCTCTCGCTGGCAAGAGGACACACCTTATAGCAAAAATCCCTCTCCAAAAAAAAAATATTTTGTTGGAAAGTGAAAATCTATCCTAGTTATACTAAGAAAGTGAAAGAATCTTTCTTAGCTTTTATTACAAATAATAGCTAGCATTATTTGATCAGTTACTAATTACTAGATCTTTTACTAAATGTTTGAAATATTCAATATGTTGCTCATTGAATCTCCACAATCAAGGTCTTAATTATTATTGTTTTAGTTCCTATTTTATAGATGAGAAAACTTGGGCTTAGAGATATAAAGTAAAATTTTCCCTAAAGTCTACCATTAGTAAGTGGCAGAGCATGTATTTAAGTCCATGCTTCTAGCCATTCTAGTGTGCTATTCAGATATAAAAGTGGTGGGTGCAGCTCCAGAGCCTCCAAAGAGGACCTCAGAGAGAAGCAGTCAGTAATCCTCTGCCATCCTCTCCACCTGAAGATGCTGTTCACATCATCCTTTATTAAAAATTCGAAGAGCTTGGGCCTTATTTTAATAATGAAGACTATTCTTTTAAAGTACTAGAGGGACCTACACAGGAAGATACTGAAATTCTGGGAACAGAGTATAGGAAAACGGTCAGAACATAAAAGGAGCTTAGAATCTTTACTCAGAAGTGGCAACTATATTGGCAGAAAGAAATGGGCGTGCTAGGGCCAGTAGGTAGCATGGCCGTTGGGCACTGGATTCCATATGGCCAGCTTTGTGGGTTCAAACCCTGGGCCTGGCAGCTTGGGGCTCATGCCAGGCACAGGTGCATACATGCCCAGAATCCCTAGAGGAGAGGCGACTGTGATGTGGTCATCTTCCCAGAGAATGATTTTTCATTCTCCGCTACTCCAGGTTTCTTTATGCAAGTGTGCATGTCTTATAAGGAAAAAAAAAAAAAAGAAGAAAGAAAGAATGTGTTTTTTCAAGCTGTTGGGTCTGGGACTCGGCCACGTGATATCTAGCCACCTTCCTTATACCACCAGCTGGCCCTGCACTTCCTTCTTTATTAAAAACATTAGAATTTTGCAAGTGACAAATTCAGGTTCTTTCAGCTCTACATTTTTATTTAGAATAAGACATAATATTAATTATACATTTCACTTCTATACAATTCTTCTATCATTCACTCTTATACTTGTGTTGCTCTTATATCCTGTTCTTATCATTAGATTAAAAGAGATCATCCTGGTTCAACGGTTAGGAGAAAGAACAAGAAAAATAAAGTCAGTCTAGCTGGTAAGATTTGGGGAAGACAGGCTGAGATATCTTGAGAAAATTAAGTAAAAGCTTATATAAGAAGGAGTAGATGAAGGAAAAAGCAAAGTGCAAAACACAAGCTGGGGGTGGAAAGACAGGACAAATAGTTTGCATAAGACAAAAGATGAGGCTGACATGATTGAGAAGCAAGAGCAGAAAGGGCCAAGGAGATGAACATTCACTAGCACTGAGCTCCAGGCATTCAGGTGGGTTAGGTATCACAAAAAAACATGCAGTGTGACCACTGAAAGACACACATAGAGGGACACACAGAGTGAGGGTGAGAAACACCAGAGCACTTGATGAATTTTCAAATTTAATCACAGCACAAAAAGCTGCATATTGGTTTATATTGGCTATAAACTTCTTTGGTTTCCAGGAAATCTGGGTAAGTCTATGGACAAACATATTTTAAGGTAGTGAGGAATTTCAAAAAGAAAATGAAGCTCATTGGTATTTTTATGTATAAAAAAGTACATATTGTCCTAAATATCCACAGTCTGGAAATGTCTCCAATATCTAATGCTCAGTGCTATTCTTTATGCATAATATGACACATGGCTTTCTTTTCCTAAGATCATTTTTCTTATCCCAGGTCCATTCTGTTGTCCCAAGCCTTGTTAAATTACATGGCCCTGCTTGGGGTTTTTTGGCAAGAAATTTAATGTTCTTCCCCCATATATAACATATGTAATACACGTACAGTGATTTTTCTACACTTAGTACACCATTTTTAATAAATGTGGTATCCTAATAGATTTTCCAACTCCACTAGAGGACTGATTAACTTAAAGGCATCAATAAAAGCACTTAATAATTTAATGTAATCTGGGGACCAGCAGTTAGTGTAATGACTATGTTGCTGGACTCCCATGTAGTCGACCGAGGTTCGAGTCCTGGACCCCGTGGCTTAAACTCATGCCGGGTGCGTGTGCGTGTATGCCCAAGATCCCAAGAAGAGACTGGAGAGGGATTGTGGCATGGCCATCCCCCCTGGGGAGTAATTTCTCGCTTTCTGTCTCTCTCTCTGTCTCTCTGGTGAGCGCACGCACCCTACAGCAAAAACCTCTCCAAAAAACAAAAACAAAAAAGAATTTAATGTAATCTAAGTGGATAAGTGATGGTATTCCCCTGAGGCAAATGGAAGAACACAGAAAAAGATAGGGGTGGGGACTGGGAGTAAGAGAAGTAGAAGCAAAGTAAAAGATAAAAAGCTGAAGAGAGCAATATGAGACAAAGAAGAGTTAAGAATCAAGATATGGGGAGCAGGTAAGATCACTGAGTGGTAGTTTGTGGTGAAAGGATAACTGTCAAAAGGGAAACCAATTGTGACGTCATTCTCCGGCCTGGGAGACCTCCACTAAACATGACATGTCTTAAGTTCTTAGTTTGTTCTTTCTCTCTAGTACATAAGATTATTTTCTAAGCTCTTGCCATATTTCCCATTTTCCTTTTTTACAAATTTCTCCATAATATAACTCATGTAATGGATCTCAAGTCAGGCTTCTCTCTCTCTCTCTCTTCTTTTAGATTAAATATACTGTTGATCACTCATGAGTTGCCTCAAAGATTTAAGAAAAAAATCTGTTTGTTTTCTCTCTCCTACATTTATGTAAGTAGACTTATTTGAGAATACTGCAAGCATATTTAGCATTCTTTCTATATACCATAAGCAATTTTAAAAGCTCTGTGGGCAGACCAGAGGTTATGAGCTGCCAAGACATCTTTGGGAATCCACCCTTTGAAATCCCCACTTTATCTTTGATATCAAATCTAGTGGTCAATCGATACGGGGGAATCAAAATCAGTGTGGTGGCCTGAAAGCTCTACATTCCCCTCCATCTTCAGTTACAGTGCTCACTGCTAAGTCCCATGTCCTCAAGGAGAGGACGTGGGTGGTATTAGAACTGGCAGCCGAGATCCTTTCCTCAGATTGGCACCAGGTGCTTCTTCACTCTCAGGTCACAAGAACTGTTCTAAAGAATAGGAAGCAGACAAGCAGAGATGAGTCCTACACTTTATCAAAGAAAATAAGGGGATTTAATATATATGTAAGGAATACATCTGGGAAAGTGAAAGGACAGGGGTCCTTCACTAAGAAACAATATTACTGCTTATTAAAATTCATCTGGTGAACTGAGTAAACCCTTACAATATTGGGGCATCTTTTCAGGGAAGGACAATGATATGCATGAAAGGAATGGGTTGAAGAAGAAAAAATACAAAGATAGGAAGAGAAGAAGAAATTCTCTTTTTAAATTTCCCTGTCTTCTAACCATTTGTGTTCTTCTGCTGGTTATTTAGGCTCCAGAATCTACAGAATATGATGATTCTTAGACATTCACCTTACCTGCTTAATCCACCCATTTTCTTTTGACTGACTGAAAATTCTTTCCACTGTTTCTTTAACCTGTTCATCTTCAACTTCTTCTGTCTTTGCAATGAAGCAACATTCCTGGTACAGTTTGAATTTAAAATGTTTCAATTTATGATAAATTCTGGTACGATTAGCACAAATTCTGCCAACAGTAAACACCTAAATCAAGAAATAAACATTATTATCTGACATATGTAGTGCTTAATATCATTATTAATATACAGCTTTTTTGGGTTTCAGACTTTCTTTAATAGTGGAATCTAATGAATGCACTGTTCATTTTATTTTACACATTTATACAATGATTCCTTTACCTTGTTTTATTTATATAACCAGTGAACAAAAACTGAACTCTTACTATCTTTCATTTAACTAGGCACTGGAGATAGATAAAAGGTATACTACCTAAATAGTGAGCTTAGAGACCAATGATCACTTACAAAGCAATGTGACAGACGTTAGGCATAAAATGCTAGGGAGCTGTGAGTAAGGAAGGGCAATCCAGAAAGGAGAAAGATTCTCAAATTGGTGAAGCTTGAACTACATCTTAAAAATACAGAGTTAGCCAAGTTTGGGAAGGAAGAGAGAAGTGGTTTGTAAGGCAGAAGGATAGCATACTTGAAAGTGAGAGAAAGCATACAAAGTATTGTAAGTGCATATTTATCGAGTTTTAAATGCCCAGACAATGATAATTTCCTGGCTGTTAGCCACATGAAAAACAGAAACAAACAAACAGTATTAATTACTGGTAGTTTTAGATAGGTTTTTTTCTCTAGGGCATGTGCACTTGCCAGACACACAAAGAGACAGAGAGAAAGTGAGAAATTACACACACACACATACACACACACAGACACACACCCTGCCTTGGGGAGACAGCCACACTGCAATCCT